ACGGGCTCTTGGTCAAGACCAGGAAAGGCAGATTTTCTCTTTTCTGCTTTTTAAAAAAGATTCTCTACAAAGTCATCAAGTTTTATAAACCACCTCTGAAAATAACCAATACAAGTTCCTCCCTTTCGCTCTCCCACCTTCGTGTCACAGTACCTGCCCCCTTATAGACAAGGAGCCCATTTGGCCCTCTGAAGTCAATAATATCTCCAATCTTCATGTCATCTAGGTATTGGGACATCTTCCCACCTTCTGGAAACTTGGGATTCACTTTTTTGTGGTAGACCTGTAAAAACAGTCATTTGTATGATATACCAACCATTAGCTTTCCTGCAGACAATATTACAAACTGTAGAACACAATATTCCAGGTCTGAAATTTAGCATCTGAGAAAGAAATTGAGACAATTCTTTGCTCTCGGTTACCTGTTGTGCCTTGCAGCAGGAAGCAGCCAAAATAAGTAAAATGCTCTCTCATGCACATGTTCCTATGCTCTCTGCAAACAGCCAGGCTAACAGGAATAGATGGCAGGCAGGTTATGTACTGCTGCCCTCATTCCACTATCGCTCCAGCAAGAACCTTATGTTACCCTATCTCCGTAATCGATCCTTCTGAAAATAGCATTGCTGCATTTTTTCTTTCTAGGACTTTCCCAGAGAATTCAGGCACATGACAGCTTTTCAACCTTTCAAAGCACACAAGTAGTTTATAACAAGTAGTTAATAACAATTCACCATACAAGTATGAAGAACATGAACATACATGAACATACAACATGAACAGCAGAGAAGGCAAAAGCAGCCCAGATTTTTACCTAAGGACAAACTCTATCATAGAAAAGGATTAGAAAATCTAGAAGTCCTGGAATCAAGTCATCCTGCATTCCCTGGCTTAAAGGATTTCCCTTGTTTCTGTATCCCATTTTCTTAATCAATAAACACATTAGCACAACTTCTGATGCTTACAGATGTAAAACTGCAATCTCTGTAGCATCACCAAAGATAGCAGTTCTTATTGACTTGTTTCCTACTTACAGCTATTAGCAGTAAGTACTAGTAGCAGCATAGGCAGCTTGAGGGTGAGTGATTGCTCCTCGTGTGTTGCCAAATAAGAGATACTAGGGAAGTTCCTGCAGTGCTGCCAAGGAAGTGATTGGAAGTGATTCCCTTCTCCATCTTCCCTACCTCTGCTATCTCTCAGTGACATGCAGCAGATACACAGGATACAACTTACTATTCAAAGATAATGTAAAATGACTTCACCATACAGTTATCCTATTTGAAAGATCAATCAAAATAAACTCTGTATTTCACTAAAATGAAGCACTTTCCTTCCTTCCAGTTAGCAATTTATCTATACTAAAGGAATCCAAAATTTACCTTTATAATTAAATCAACATAACCTTTTGTCTCGTCACTGGAAACTGGGGTATAGGCTCGAATCACCAGATTACCATCGATTTTTGCGGAAAGGTAAACATGTTGGCCTAGGGAGAAAGAATTACAATCTGATTATTTATTGTTTCATCTGTGGTTTCAAACTTTTCTCAGGCCTGGAGGACAAGACAAGAGAGAAAAAGCAGGTGGTGTAAGCCATTAAACACAAGCAATGATGGAGAAAATCTTTACCATATAAATGCTGTACAAAACATCTGGTCTCTTCTTTTTTCAGCATGAGTTTCTGGAGCATGGGGTAACTGAGGAAAGCCAGTATGTTACAGAATCAAGGATAAGATACTAGGAAAGTAGGAAATTTATAGTAAAATAGTGACATTGAAAGTTTGATGCTTATTAAGTGCCCTCTGTATTTTGGGTTCTACTGTTCTCATATTCATTAAAGAAGTGAAAGTAAGGACACACCAGTTCACAGAGGCAAAGAAAGAAATAAGTATTACAGTTTAACAGCAGCAATCTCTCAGAGCAACCTTCCCAGAGATTCTCTACCAAGACATCAAGAACAAAGCCTTGGGCCATATTCCTTCTCAATAACTCCTGCCTCCGTAATGCTGCAGCTTCCACAGCATTGGATGCTGCTGTCCACAGAGAGCTCTTTGCCCAACCTAATGCTCCAAGAAGCAGACTCTGAAAGGCACCAGTTTCTTTCTGCTGATTTGAAGAACTGAAATTCCTTGCCAAGAGTAGTCTTCTCAGCCAGACGGCACTAATCTAGAGAGTTGCACAGAAAAACAAAAAACAGAAACAGTGCTGGCAGAAAACACTTTATTTTTAGCAAAATGATCCTGGTAAAAAGCAGAAGGCAGCAATCTCCCACAAAGTAATCTGTCCCATGCAGCTGCAGGATCTTATTCCCAAATTTTTAAGAATAAAGTCTGGATAAACACAAGCACTGCAGGGCACATCTCAATTCATTTATCATTTATCTAGTTAACGTGGACAGTTCAATTACACTTTTCCATACAAGCCAGAAGAGAATGTGGAGAAAGACTGATGCCCTTGACAAGCAGCATGCAAGAAGGACGTGCTCACAGCATGGAATGGGAAAGGCCCTGACGCTTGCCATATAGCAAGGGAAACTGCAAAACATAATACAGCACAGACAGGGCTACATCTGCCACATCTGCAAATCAGAAGGGGAGACTTTCCCCTGCATAGATTACCGTTAATTCAAGGTCCAAGGTTCAATGCCATCAGTTTTGCAGGGTACAGGAAAGAAAACTGTGCCAATCCTACTCTGAAATGAACTTCATGCTACAGAAAGCAAGACAAAGTTGTACACTTATGTATGTAAATCAAAGGTAAGTGCATTCACAGAAAAGGCTCTGAATATTTCAGCATCTTCTATATACAGTAGATGTATTCTACTGTTGCTAAGTTGCAAGCTTCTCAGGCAGAAGAGTTGTTCTCTTTCCTCGTTTACAAGTGTGACTGTATTCATCAAAAGCATACGGGCAGTTGACAATAAACTGAAGGCACCAGATGGAAGTAGAATGCAAGTAAGAAAAAGCTTTGACAGACACCATTCCTGCCTATATCCTGACTGGTGGTGAATTTCATCAGACTCAGTTCAGTTTCACCGTTCTTGTTCTGAACTACACCACACAATTTAACACAAGCAGAACAAAGCACACACAAAAGATCTGAAATACAACACTTTAGGAAATCTGACATTGCTCTCTGACACAGCAGCATTCAGACACAGCTTTTAACGCCTCGCCTTGCTGAGCATTAAATTCCCAAACAGTCAGAAGTCTCAGAACTATGATTACAGTTATAAAGCCTAAGAACAGAAATACATGTAACGAAGCATTTTCAGTACTTACCTACAGGTAATCCTAATATGTGATCTGGTGAAGGTAGCCCAAACCGGAATTTCTTGGTATCATGACTGATTTCCTAAAAAAACCAACCAAACAAAATCAGAATGAGGTCAACATCACCACTGCTTCGAATTTCAAACTCTACTCAATGCAATATGCTTTAGTAAGTCTGTTCTTTGTTAGCATGCAAGCCAAATGCTAGGAAGGGAAGGAGAAATAGCTTTGAAAAGTTTAAACAGATCAGAAGTTTTAGAGCCAAAGTCTTTTCCTCTTTAAATAAACAGGAGAGACTTTTGCCTGTCTGCACAATCCATACAGCACCTTTACATAAAGAAAATGCAGAAACCTCTATTGCCCAAGGCCAGCAAGCACGTTTCATAATTTATGGCCAAAGATCAGGCAAGACACGACGTGCAGAAATACAGGCTGTTGGGGTTCTCACTGATGCACGTTGGACAAAAATCAAGGGAGAAACACAGCTCTAAACTAGGATTTAAACATACAAAGAAATGAGTCCATCCTTCTCTTGAAACAACCATAACACTGTGGTGTAGGCATAAACACTTTCAAGAATCCTGCTCTACCCTAGGGAAACACCGCAGCCTGGCAGCGGGAGTCACGG